GTTATCACATGATTTAAATGATTCAATTTTTAAATAAAATTACTAAAGTGAATCATTTTAAGGATGAATTCTGATCGTTAATTTTTGATATTTTTTTTGCATATTACACGCTATCATATATTTCAAAACATTTAATTTTTCCCTTCTTTTTCATTTCAGAATACATGAAAAAATTAAAAATTAATTAAATATTGGTTGTTTATAAACTGAAGAAAAGATCAAATATTTTTATTTTGTCCAACAAATGTAAGGCATTGTTAGCCTTAGTGATGACGAAGGAATAGACCGAACTTCAGGGGCCTATATTGTTGGGAGGTGGAAAATAATTGGACTTATAAAAACCAAATTTGAAGTATAAAATTTTAATTTGCATACAATCATGCATTCGGTATTGCTATCTTCCTGCCGTTTATTACTTAAATGTAAGATTTATTTCAATTTTGATATAATTTTCTCTCTTTTTTCTAAATAATTAGTTGCATTACTGTGAATAAATATAATTGATCTGTTTCCTTTTTTTTTTGTTTCAAAATTAATTGCATTTTACTACAGTATGCCAAGTTACTGCTTTATCTCCCTGTCCATCAGGATTCAACAACCATAAACCACCCAAAAAAATGCTTTATGGTAATTTTTTCTTTCGCATTAAAATTTTATACATGCTGCATATTTTATACATGCTGCATATTCATATTTTAAGCTTATTTAACTACTTGTGAAAATATTTTGATTAAGAAAACAAGACTAAAAATTGTATAAAATTCTATTTGTAGAAATAATTTAGATGGTAAAAGCAAGCAATCAAATGGCGGCACGTTTCAAGTGCCTAATAAGAAATGTATTTTTAGCATCCATTGAATTTACCGATGAAAATTTCTCACAGGTTTCAGTGTTTTATAAATTTTTTTGCTTTTAAAATATAATAAAATTCTTGTAAATTTTGATTGATTTTAACAAATTTTAATAAAAATGATCATTTATCGCTTAATTGAATTAATAATTTTAAATAAGGCTTATATTCTGTAAAAATAATAAGAAGAAAAAAGCAAAAAAGGAAAAGAACTGTTAAAGCTTAATTTCAGAACTGCAAATGATAACAATTAAGCAAAAAAAAAAGAGAAAAGAATTGATAAAACTTAAGATAAGAACTGGAAATGACAACACCTGTTTCCATTACTTCTATTATTTTATTTGTTAAAATTAACAACGTTAACATATTATCTGCAGTGTTTTATCACAGTACACTTTTTTCATTAAAGGTTATCTATATCGGTTTACAATCTTATCCACGTAACCTTTAAAAACAATATTTTGTTGATGATGCAGAATTGAAATATGAAAATTAAGCGGATGGATTTCCGAAAGACTGACTATTACAGGTATAACAGATATGTACTGCTGGGCTCTGGTAATAAGGCTTGATGTTTCGTGTTCGAAACCTTTGAAGTTACCTCGGTGAGAATTTACCAGCTGTTTGTCAAATAAGATACGGTGAAGAAATTATGAAAGCAGAACTTCTTCTACAGAATTGCAATATTGTCGAAGTGTAAAAAATTAACATAAGGTTTGAAATTTCATCAATTTTTATAATTTTCACAAAGTTTGCTTTGCAAGAATTTTATAAGTAACAAAAATTTACTCTTCTTTCAGGTAATAACAATGGAAAAATGAATGAATCAGATAGATGAGCAAAGTGAATGCATGGAGAATGGTGCACATTTTGTAATCATTGATTCAAAAAAAAAAAATGAATTTTTTTTCCGGTAAATTTGATCAAATTTTTAATAATTTATCTAATGTTATATTCAATTTAAAAATTTATTAAAATAATCCAACTGGTTCCTATATTAAATATAGAAGAAACAATAAAAAACTTGCTTCCTCTATATTCAATTTTTTTTAGTTCGTTTATTTAATTATTCCTTATTTAATTTATTGCTCATCTAATTTTTTAATTCAGTTAGTCAAGTTAACCAACGAATTTTATGAATTTCATATTGTAGTAATAATTTTTTTTTTGAAAAAAATTTTATCAGCATTGTATAAATTATACTACTAATGTTCCTCAATCCAATACCGCATATCGGCGTCTTGTCAATCTTATTCGATAAAGAAATGATTGAAATTTTAGATTTGACAATGAAATCTCCGTATTCGTCAATGAGAATATTTATTAGGTTGGAATCGAATATGATTGAAAAAGACACCAATAAGCGGTATTGGATTTTTTTAAGGATTGGAAGGACTACGAACCGAAAATCAAACTGTACCGTCTAAGAATGATTCCGGAACGAAAAGGTTGCTGGAATGAATGGTTTTGCTATTCAGAGAAGCATGAAGTAGTTTATGCAACTATCTGTGGAATTGATTATGATATAAGTATTTATGAAATTGCAGTTTGCACTGCTTAATTTAAATCTAATGAATTTTTTAAAAAGCATGAGAGTTTGCAAAAGTTTAAAATTTATTTCACTACTTAAATAAACTGTAAAAGAATTACTGTGATGAAAATACAAAAATTTGATCGTTTCAACATAAATTTTAGTAATTTCTTTTATCAATAATTTTTTAATAGAAAAAAATTGCTACAAAATTTGATAAAAATGAAAAATTTGAAGCAATGAACATTTGACTAATCAATGGCTGATTTTTATCGTCCCCTCCTAAGGCTTATATAAGAGATATGCCATCTATATCAATTACTTATAACATAAATGATGAATTTTAAATGTAAAGAAATGTCCAAATTATGGCAATTTTAATATAACTATTTTTAGCAGAAAATTTGAAACTAAAATTGCACAGAAATTTGCATTTTTTTAATTGCATAAAACTGAAAAAACATAGTAATAGAAAATATTGATATTTTATTACTGTCATCAGACGGTCACTAATCACTTCGGTTGTTGTATTTTCTTGCTATTGGAAAGTCTGATTTTTTTTTTTATTAAGGAAATGTCCAGAAGAAGTATTAATTATAAACGTAATCGGAAAAAGTCGAAATGGTAATATCCAAATAATGATAATTAGTTCAACATTTTTCTTATCGAATGGTCAATACATTGTTATTGATATTAAGATAAGCATTTATTTTGGAATCAGTTAAGGAATAATCATTCAAAACTGATCTTCTTGATTTATTATTAGTTTAAAAATTTATATTGAAAACTATTTAAATAAAATGGACAATGAATAGCTGTACAGTTAATGCAGCGCGACATTTTCAGCTCCAGTCCGGGCGGAACTCCCGGGCCATTTGGTCGAATTCAACATATGCGAGATTTTATTAATATCACAGAAGAAATTAATCAACTGAAACAAACTAATCAATTATTGTAATTATAAAGTTATTAAACAGCTCAGAGAGAGGGAGAGGGAGAGAGAGATCGCATTTTCATCGAAGGTACAACCGACGCAATATAAAAAATGAAAAAAATTCTTCAGTATCTGATAAATGTGGATGAAATATTTATCCTTTCAGGAAGACAAATAAGAGGGAAATTAATGAACCAATGGAAATGATAAAAGTAAAATTTTCATCTAAATTACTTCAATCTAACCTAAACGAACAGTCACGCAGTAACACACGTTCAGTTGCTTCCTTCGAGCAACAACAGCAACAACAACAACAGGAACAACAACAACGGCAACAACAACAACAACAACAACGACAAAATGACGCCAATGTTGCAAAAGGAGATGAAGCAGCGGATTTAATAAAATTTGAACGATTATCTCTGGATAATAAGAAAAATCCTAGCGTAAATTTATCTGTGAAACAGCGTGTGCAAATGTCTGAAGTAGTAGTAACTCGTGCTAATAACGAATTCACCATGCCTATAAAGCACATTCCAAGATTTATAAACAAACTGGACAATTATTCATCGGAATCTCTCATCCAAAAAAAGAGACGTCGAAAAGGAACACCAATGCCAAAATATCGAAAAACTTTTGCCAAGATATCTACTCCCGAATAAATAATAAATGGTACCCGTATGAAATTGCAAATGTACTTACTGATTCCAATAAATGAATACCAAATTATCAAAAAACTGTACTTGCTGATTCCAATAAATGAATATTAAATAAGTATCATTCATAATATAATTTTTAGCAATTAATTAATTATTTTTCCCAATTCGTTGTTTGTTTTGCATTCTAACAAACGTTAATGAAGAAAACAAAAACGAATTGGACAATGTGACACGGCTGAATAAACCATTTTATTTAATTATCGGAATCACTAAATACTGCATAAATGAAAGGAAATAAAAGCTTTCCTTTCTTTTCATCTTTTTTCATTTTTTTTTTTTTACATTCCGATAAACAGGTCGATAGATTAACGAGGGTTCTATTATTCGTGATTTCTTGCTCGAATTTCCAGTGATTGTAATTTGTAACCGAATTTATAATGATCGCGATTTTATGATCAAGTTTATGATGACTGTAAGTTCATGTTAGAAATAATCTTACGGATTTCTTGATCGTTATAGTTTAAAACGATTACTTCATAATGATCGTGATTTCATGACTAAATCCAAATTTTACGTGATTTATTCAATTGTTAAGTATATATAAATTTGTTTAGTTGAAAGGGATCCATTCTTTTACTCACACCTATTTTAGTGCGATAATGTATCGCAGAAGGAAACAAATTTTTCGTATCTTTCGTAGTGTAAGAAAATAACAATAAGGATGATATCATTTCCAGATTAATTCATATGAAATTTTCGAATCATTGCTATATTAATATGCTTCCTTCTTCGTGGCAACATTTTTTTTTAATTCATCGATTGATTCGTGTAAATTTGAAGAAATAAATTTTCACTAATTTCATAGTTTACAATTCATTTTTGTGGTGAGGGAAGATAATTTACAGTTTATGTTACATTTTATCTGTTTTGTAATGATTGACGTTAATGAATGACTTGCAAGAGATAAGCCTGAGAACACAATTCGTACATTTTTTAAAATACTTAAAATGACATTTTTTTTTTATTTATTTTATTAATTTCAATGTTTTATTTATTTTAATATTTTGTTTATTTTATTTGTTTTGCTATTTTCATTGATTCAATTTTTATCAATCATTGAACATTTGATAGATAAGCGCTTTCTTTGTATAATACCCGAACGTGATGGAAGCAAATTTATTTATAGCTAAATAAGAAATGCAAAATGAGCACTGAGCAAATGAACTATAACATTGCTTGTAACTTATAAGTTGCGCAATTTCAACAACTCATCTTGAAAATTTTCTTGTGTAAGTTCATAAGTTTTACTTTACAGTATAAAAATTACATTTATTTTCATTGTTTAAAATTCCCATTTTGAGTGACATAATTTTCAAATGTCGAATCAGATGTTCAAATCAGAAAAATGATAAAAAATACAATTTCAAATCATCAGTTTTTCAAATTAACATTGCTACTAAACAAGTT